TATAGCTGTGTATAGATGTGCATAGCTGTGTATAGCTAGGTATAGCTGTGTATAGCCCTATATAGCTGTGTATAGCCTAGTCTCCTCTCGCAGCCGTTCTTTGTCTCGGGATCCATGTCTCCCTTCCCACAAACGGCTGCTCGTGTTGACCAAACATTCCATTCCAGCCGATTGACTAATCAGAGTGCCGCCTTCCGAACTCTGGAAGGCTTATAATATATTCAAATCTTGAAAGGGGACTGTTATGATGTCATTGTTATTTACGTCATGGTCATGTGACCTGGCGCGCTCTTTCGTGCTGGCTCGTTCATGGACTATTAAAACCATTTTGTTGTTTGATATACCTGGGCCGTTTGTTGTGTCCCTGCAATCGTAACATGGTGTCAGGAATGGGGTTTTAACCCATTTTCGTAGTTGACAGTAGCTGCTACGTTTCCTGAAAGTTTCAACGATTTGTTCGCAGTTGGTAGCTGACGGAAAAGGTTATAGTCTGCGTTCAATTCTTATACTGGCCACCACGACTGCCAAAGCTCCTACTCCGCGGAATCTATCCGACCGTTTGCAACAAGGAGAAAACTGGAAATTCTATGAATTAGCAGCTGGCATTCATACGAAGGCGGATGAAGTTCGTGTTGCTTCTTTGTTAAATGTTGTTTGCAAGGAGACATTGGACATGTACGAAACCATTCAATGGGAGGATGCGTCTCATGCTCTTAAAATCGACAAATTTTTGGAAAATTTTGAAGAGAGCTGCGTTCCTGCTCGGAATGAAACGTACGAAAGGTTTGTTTTCTTCAAACGTGAGCAATTGCCGAGTGAGTCGCTCAATTGTTACATAACAGCATTGATGAAGCTGTCTGAGAACTGTGGTTTTGGAATGCCCCGTGAATCGCTTGTTCGCGATCGTTTGATTCTTGGAGTAAAGGATGACAGGATTGGGGTAAAGCTCCTTGGAAAGCGTGATCTCGACCTGGATAAAGCCGTTGAAATGATCAAGGCTAGACGGGTTATTCATTCGCGAGCCTCGGAAATTGCAGATGAAGCTTTAGCTCAGGAAGATGTCAGTGCTCTGAAACACAAACCTAGGCCACAGAGGAAATCGGAGAAATGGAAGCTCCCGAAAAGTTCCACTCGGAACCCCTCGTCTAATAGCAAACTTAAAGAATGTCTCTTCTGCGGTGGCAAACATGCACTTGACAGAAAGCTATGTCCAGCATCCGGACAAACATGCAAGAAATGTGGCAAAGTTGGACACCTCGCAGTCAAATGTCGCAGTAAGTCTGTGAATGTGAATGTTAATGATGTCAAGGAAGTTTTCTACATAAATAACATTGGTGGCAAAGATCAGGCTCTTGTTCCAGTCACTCTAACTGACACTGTTTCAATAACATTCGAGACTGATACAGGCTCATCAGCAAATATTTTGCCACTAGAGGATTACACCAGAGCCACCAATGATTTCAAAAGAGCTAGCATTGTTCCTAAAGATATCACACTAGTGATGCATGATCACTCTAAACGAAAGGCATTGGGTTCTGCAAGGTCGAAAGTTGAGCATGAGGGCAACAAACATGAACTAGGATGAGTTAGGATTAGTTTTGAGTATTTTATATTTCTTTTATCTAGGGTCTCTACGGATATCAGTTTTCTGTCACTGTAGTAGTTACCCTGGCTAAATGAAAGTATCTCAGTTCCACTACTACTAACTGAACTTTGTCATTGTTGATCTAAGGGTTACACCTTTGTTGGGCTTAAAGTCTTGTCAAGGTATGGGTCTCGTTAAAATCATGGTCCCTGGTTTTCATGCCCCTATTAACAATGTTGTTGCTACTCCAGAGAAAGCTGTATCTGAGAGTATTACTACAGATTCTGTGCTTAAACCCTTTGCTGATGTATTTCAAGGTATTGGTTGTTTACCTGGTGAATACAGTATTTCATTACATAGGGATGTAAGCCCTGTGGTACATCCTCCTCGTAGAGTGCCTTTTCCAAAGAAAGATGCCATGAAGGCAGAGCTGGAAAACTTGATTAGCAAC